AAACGTGAATGTTGGGCATCTTATGTCTCGACAATTACGTCCGAAACCCCTCTGGCCCAGATCTGGAAGCGTATCCGCAAGATAGCGGGTAAGTTCGTTCCCGATGTTTCACCGGTCCTTCACCTCCATGATACTCTTGTGGCGGACCCGTTGCAGGTCGCTTCCGAACTGGGTTCCCATTTCTCTTCTGTTAGCTCTGGTCTTCATCTTCCCCAATCTTTCCTTCTTCGTAAACCTGTCCTTGAGTCTCGTCCTTTAGATTTCTGCACTCATCTTCAGCTTCCCTATAATGATCCCTTCTCTCTCTCTGAACTTCGTTCTGCCCTGGCCCTCTGCGGTTCTACGGCGGCGGGCTCCGATGGTATTCATTATGAGATGCTTCGCCATCTCCCTCCAAGCACGTCTCAGTATTTACTGAGTCTGTATAATCGGATCTGGGAGTCGTCGTCAGTCCCTGAGGACTGGCTCGATGCCGTTGTCCTCCCTGTTCGCAAACCGGGGTCTCTGGGTACTTCCCCTAAGGACTTTCGCCCTATTGCTCTCACAAGTTGTGTCTGCAAACTCTTTGAACGTATGGTTAACGTTCGTCTGATGTGGTTCCTGGAACACCATCACCTCCTCTCCCCTTCTCAATTTGGTTTCCGCAAGTGCCGCAGCACGACAGATGTCCTGGTGAACTTGGAGGTCTATATTCGTACTGCTTTTGCTGCGAAGACCTCCGTTGTTGCCGTCCTTTTTGACCTAGAAAAGGCTTACGACACCACTTGGCGTTATCATATCCTATCTCAACTTCATTCTTTTGGCCTTCGTGGTCATCTCCCTCTCTTTCTCCGCAGCTTCCTCTCTCGTCGTTCCTTTCGGGTGCGCCTTGGTACCGCTCTGTCTCCCTCTTTTCAGCAATACGAAGGTGTGCCCCAGGGTAGTGTTCTGAGCACTACTCTTTTTCTGGTTGCCCTCAATGGTCTTCTTTCCTCTCTTCCTTCTGGTGTCTTCTCCGCTCTCTATGTCGATGATCTTACCCTTTGTTGTCAGGGTGATGATTCGCCTCTCCTTCAACGCTGGCTTCAACTTGCAATTGATGCCGTGTCGTCTTGGGCCACAGGTCATGGCTTCAAGTTCTCTACTTCTAAGACTTGTGCCATGACTTTTACGCGGAAACGGGTTGTTCTTCGTCCCTCTTTGTCACTTTATGGTCATCCCCTTGAATACAAAGATTCCGCGAAGCTTTTGGGGTTATTCCTTGACACTCGTTTGTCTTGGTCTCCCCATATCTCTTACCTCCGTGTTGCGTGCTCTAAGGCCCTTACCCTCCTTCGGGTCTTGTCCCATACTTCTTGGGGGGGAAGATAGGCGCACTCTCTTTGCTTTACATTCCTCTCGTCCTGTCTAAGCTCGATTATGGTTTCCCTGCTTACTCGTCTGCTTCTCCTTCTACTCTTCGCCGTCTTGATGCTTTGCACCATACTGGGTTGCGCCTCAGTTCTGGTGCCTTTCGTTCGACTCCTGTCCTTAGCTTGTATGTTGACACTGGCTTCCTGTCTCTCCAGGACCGCCGTGATCGCTACTGTCTTCGCTATCTTGCGCGGTCCTTGCAACATCCTTCCTCTCGCCTCTGTCGTGCTTTAACTTTTACCCCTCCTGCGGTTCCTGTTCCTCTTCACCACCTCCCTCTTTCTGTCCGGTTATCTCGCCTACAGGATTCTCTTTCCGTTCGTATTTCTGATGTTTCTCCTCGTGTTGTTCCTTCTTTGCCCCCGTGGAGGGTCCCTCTTCCGCGGTTTTATACATCCTTGACTCGTATCACTAAAGCTTTTACCCCTCCTACGGTTCTAAAACGCCTTTTCCTCGAGCACTTTTCTTCTCACTCCCGCTCCGTTTCTGTCTTCACCGATGGGTCTAAGTCAGCGGACGGTGTTGGCTACTCTGTTGTTTTTCCTGATCGCACTTATATGTGTCGCTTGCCTCCGGAGACTAGCATCTTTACAGCGGAACTTTATGCTATTCTCTATGCTCTTCGTCTCCTGCTTTCTCGTTGTCAGTCTTCCTTTGTGGTTGTTGTTGACTCTCGTAGTGCCCTCATGGCTCTCGGGTGCTTTAATCCAGTTCATCCAGTAGTTGTCGAGATCCAGCATTGGCTGTTTCTCGTTCACAGTAAATTTAAGTCGGTTGAGTTTTGTTGGGTTCCCAGCCATATTGGCGTGTCTTTAAATGAGCGTGCGGATGCTGCCGCTAAGGAAGCTGTCCGCTCTTGTCCCATCTCTCGTAAAGGCATTCCGTATTCCGACTTTTACCCGGTTATCCATTCCTCAGTCCTTACCCGTTGGCAGGCTTCTTGGTTGTCTGTTACTGGTAACAAGCTACGTACTCTTAAATGTTGTGTTTCCTCGTGGCCGTCCTCCTTCCACCGTAACCGGCGGTGGGAAACAGCTCTGGCGAGGTTGCGTATTGGCCATACTCGCTTAACCCATGGTCACTTGATGGAGCGCCGCCCTGCTCCTTATTGTCCTAGTTGCATTGTCCCTCTTACGGTCGTGCATGTCCTTCTTGAATGTCCTGACTTCCAGGACGAGCGTGTGTCTTGCTTTCCGACCGCCCCTCGCGGTCACCTGTCCCTCGATAGAATTCTTGGTGACTCGGATACTTTTGATATCGTTCGCCTTATGCGTTTTTGTTCTCGTATTGGCATCCTTGGTGATATTTAGCCCCCTCTGATTATTTTGCGTATTTGATGGTGCTACATAGCCTTCCCGGTTTGGTGCCTTCTTTTGATAATTACTTACTTACTTACTTACTTCCACCTATCCTCCGGTGAGAGTTGAGTTGTAGCTCCTGGTCCTGGCTCCTGCCTCGTGTAGGGAACGCCCTCACACACACACTGTCGTGTCCTCCAGGAACTCAATCAACGTCCCACCGTAAGCGCGTCGTCTCCGTGCCTTTTCACTGCAGGTCCGTGCTCCTCCTCGACTTCTTGTGGGGTTGGAGTCGGTCTCCCGGCCGTCGACTTCTCCTCCCAGCTACAGCTGCCCGCCTACGTCTCGGCTACAGTCGTTCGGATTCCCGAACAGTTTTCCTCTTCCACTGCTTCCCGGTGGCTCGGTCCAGCCACTACGCCGTCACAAACGGGTGAACTGCCTCAGACGTCGTATACGTCACTGCACAGACTTCACTTCTTCTTGCACAGTACCTGTCCCGGAGCACTTGTTGCTCAATATCCCGTCGATTCCCTCTCTGGTCCAACACATGAACGAAGGAAGACCTCACAGAGTACTGGCAGACTTCGGGTGACGCGTAAAATCCACGGGAACGGGAAACAACTGTCAAACTGACAGGACCAATCTTCGCACGTCCAACCACCTTGACGTGTCGTGTCAGACTGATTCCCTCCGGAGGATTGGCCCATCCACTATGTCATCACTGTGGAGCTATCAGCCGTCGCATACATCGCTGCCTAGACTCCACTCTTGCACAACACCTGTTCCTGGAGCACTTGTTGCTCAATATTGTCAATTCCTTCTCTGGTCCAACACATGAACGAAGGAAGACCCCACAGGTGATGGCAGACCACGGGTGATGCGTAAATCCTCCGGAGACGGGGTAAACTGTCCAACTGACAGGACCCCCCCCCCCCCCCAGCGCACGTCCGACCTCCTTTGACGTGCTGTCTTAGACTGATGGCGCCGCCGTGGCGCTCTGACCGGACCCCCTTTCCTTCGTGACGCCATATTCGCCACGGGAGGTTTTCATTGGCTCCCTGTGCCACGTCGCTGTCGGTGACCAATCTGGTGTCACTGACGACACACAGTTTTGGCGGCAAAACAGAAGAGCCAGCGCCATATTGGCTTCCTAAAGGGCCTAAACCACAGGCCAAAATACTCTTCTTTTACAAATTTCTCGGCACTCCGAGAACACTACATTCTCCTACACATATCAAACTGATGTCTGTGACGTAGAGAACGCTCGGGTAAAGTGGACATGACTCTTACTGCAGGCGTGGGAGAAATATAAGGGGGGAAACACCGTCACAATACATGTGTATATATATAGATATGCAACAATGATCACAAAAACACTGATCCAAGTATGTGGAAAAACCACATTTCAAAAATAGAGAATGCTTAACGCATTTTAGGGATAGGGTGTACACTCCCTATCCCCCAACACTGTACTTAAGTTTACCTGACCGACTGTTTAATGAGATTTTCCGCTTAGTGCTTGAGAAAAATATTGATTTACTTGAATTAGAAGTACGTGAATGTTTTAAAGTGTTGAGCAGCCATAAGTACTAATTTTTTCAAGCTGTACCTTCGGAATGGAACCACCCGATGATGGATTACTGTTACACCGCTATGAGATCTGCCTGCAGGGATGTAAGTACAAAGCTTGATTAAAAACTGGATAGGTTTATTCAACAAAGTGATTAGAATAAACACGCTAACAATGACTTCGTTATTAATCTCTCTAGTAAACAACTGGATAATGATACGATGACTGCTCTTGGTTACGGTCTGAGTTTTTCCATATCGAATATGGATGTGAATTATGTAGATATTGCCAAATGTTTTGCAATTTGGAGAATTATAGTGAGATTTAAGCTGATGACATCAATATTTGCAAGAGTATGGTGTACGGGTTTTTACTGAAGGGTACTGTTCCTAACTGTCCAGATAGGTTTATTCGGGCGTTCAAAACCCTCGAAAAAGACAACTCTCTACATATCTCTAAGGCTGATAAGTCCAATGCTGTTGTCATCCTGGATAAGGATACCTTGAGGTTACCTTGAGGTGCTTCCGGGGCTTAGCGTCCCCTCGGCCCGGTCGTCGACCAGGCCTCCTGGTTGCTGGACCGATCAACCAGGCTATTGGACGCGGCTGCTCGCAGCCTGACGTATGAGTCCCAGCCTGGTTGATCAGGTATCCTTTGGAGGTGCTTATCCAGTTCTCTCCAGGATTACTATATCCAAAAAATGAATCAGTTATTGGATAACAGAGAGACTCACTTACCTGCTAATAGTGACCCTATTGAAAAAGTTATTGCTCATTTTAACAAAACTCTTAAAACCTTGCTCAAAAACGATAAGGAGTTGATTTCTAAGTTTTTAAGTCGTTCCCCTTCTCTACTATATCTATATGGTCTTATTAAAACACACAAACCTAATAATCCTGCAAGTCCGATTATTAGTTCTGTAGGATCTGTGACATATAGACTTTCTAAATGGGTGGCCCAAATCTTGTCCCCGGTAGTAGGTTTCATTTCCAACTCACACATAACAAACAACTTGGACATGGTTAACAGGTTGTCTGGTTTGAAATTAAATTATGATTTTAAACTTGTGAGTTTTGATGTGACGACTCTGTTCACTAGAGTGCCTGTTGATGACCTGTTGGCATTCTTACGGGATCTACTCCCTAAGTATAATTTAACACCATTGTTGAACTGATAAGATTATGCATTAAAGATAAGGGGTCAGAGGACACTCCCTGCAATACCTCAAATCTTACCTTACTGGCAGGCTCCAGTATGTTTCTGTGAATAATTCAATTTCTCCCACCCTACCCATCAACATCGGTGTTCCTCAGGGCAGCATACTTGGCCCTCTCCTCTTTCTCATCTACATTAATGACCTTCCAAATGCCTCCCAACACCTCAAACCAATTCTATTTGCTGACGACACAACCTTCATTTACTCCAGTCCTGATCCCCTTGCTCTTAATGCCACAGTAAATACTGAGCTAAATAAAGTCCATCTTTGGCTAACGGCCAACAAACTCACCCTTAATATTGACAAAACTTTCTATATTCTGTTTGGCAATAAATCCTCTAATCAAATAAATATCAGGATAAACAATACCCAAATTTGTAACAAATTAGATGGCAAATTCCTTGGCATTCTCATTGACCACAAGCTGAATTTCCAGGGACACATTCTAAATATATAAAAAAAAGTTTCAAAAACTGTTGGCATTCTTTCTAAGAATGCCAACAGTTTTATTATGTATATGTATTTATTATATTATGTACCCCGCCATGCTCTGGTGACGCTCTATTACTCCCTCATTTATTATTTATTTATTTATTTATTTATTTATTTATTTATTTATTTATTTATTTATTTATTTATATATATACAAGAAGGTACATTGGGTTTGTGAGAATACATTGGATAGTACAGTATTTACATTCTTGTAAAGCCACTAGTATGCACAGCGTTTCGGGCAGGTGCTTAATCTAGCAGATAATCTCTCCATATCTCAACTATGGTATTTGTGCTTGGGGTTCTACTACCCAAAATCATTTACGTCTTCTAATTACTCATCACAAAGCTGCTTTTAGGACAATATCCAACTCTGGCCCCTGACATCACTCGGTACCCCTACTCAAATCTCTGAATATGTTAGATATTAAGTCACTGCACATTCTCTCATGTGTATTATACATATATAAAACGCTGAACTGTAATGCCAATCCTGACCTCAAAAGCTTCATTGAAGGTTGTAACAGATCCCATGAGCACCACACCAGAAATAAATTCAGTTTTAATATTCCAAGAGTACGACTTAATCAAACTAGAAATGCTCTTCAAATCAAGGGACCCAGAATGTGGAATGACCTTCCCAACCATGTTAAAGACTGTACCTCTCTCAACCAGTTTAAGATAAAAACGAAGCACTACCTACTAAATTCCCTGTAACCTACCTTACCCCTCTATTGTCAACCCATGTCTGTTTTCTTAAACTACGCTGTTTGTCGACCTAATTGTATTTGTGCTGCTTTTTCAGCCATGTTCCCCCCTTTTTTATCTTTATTTTTATTTGTTCTCAACACATTTCATTCTTTATACCCAATTAGTATTAAGTTTTAGTCATTAATGTTTTTCCTGCCCGAAGCGCTTTGCATAATAGTGGCTTTAGGCCTTGTATGTACTAGCTCCATCTATAAATCGATCAAATTATGTAAAATCTCTTGTATGTGTGTACCTTACCTGAATAAACATTTTATTTTATTTCATTTTATTTTATTTATTTATTTTATTATTTTATAATTATTTTAGCTCTAATTATTCATTTTATAAGCAAACATTTGGCATGGCGATTGGTAACCCCCTCTACCCTGTTTTGAGCAATTTGTACATGGAGTGTTTTGAAACAAATATCTTACCCAGGATTTTGCCCTCGAATTTGGTTTGGTACAGGTACGTTGGTGATATTTTATGTCTGTGGCCGGTTAACCATTTTCAAATTGATTTTCTCCTTCAACTTAATTTGCTGGTTTCGTCAATTAAATTCACAATTAAGAATGAAATGAATGGTGTTCTGCTTGTTTTAGACATCATGATTCATAGAATTGATAGGAGTTTCAAATTCAGTGTGAATTGGAAACCTACCAATGTGTATGCTCGTATGTACATTTTTACTCAAATCATCATTTTCAGGTAAAGCTGGCAGTTTTTTCTGGTAAGTTTCTCAGAGCCTTTCGGATTTGCAGTCCGGAATTTTTGATGAAGAAGTAGCGAATATATCTGAAATTGGGAAAAGTTAAAATACCCAAAATCGGTATTGTATCTTGCGTTTAGTCAAGCAAAAAAGACGTTCTACAAACAAGCTCCCAAGTGTAAACCAGAACTGAAAAACTCGTTGGTATTACCATATTCTGATAGTCTAGTACATCATGCCCCAGTCCTGAAAAACCTTAATATTAACCCAGTGTTCAAAAATGATAATACAGTTAAGTCCATGTTAATTAAGAACTTACCCTCGTCTGTACCATGTTGTGTGTACTCCATCTCTTGTAATGAGTGTGCATGTGTTTACATCTGCCAGACAGGTAAATCTCTTTCCTCACGTTTAAAAACCATTCATATGCCATTCATAAAGCCCAGCACTCCAGTGTATTGTGTTTACATGCCAGTTTATGCGATCATTCTATCAACTTCAGAGGAGCAAAATGTATTGTTAAAAATAAGGGCTTCGTTGAACGAAATGTGATCGAGTCTGCTCTGATCAAACATTGTAACAACAGCCTTAATGTGAGCCCCGGTATATGTACAAGTTGGATCCCCATATAAGCCTCGATATAGCACGTCAATACAATATAGCATCCATTTAACCTGTATGGCACTTTTATATATCTTCTAGTTCTGGATATTAATAGGAGCAGTATGGGCCAATAGGCCTTCTGCAGTTACCTTCTTTCTTATATTTCCTTTCCTTCACGTTTTCTTGGTGGTCAGGTGATCTGTCCAGGCGGGTATGAAAGGTCTGATCTACAATGTTTCCATCTTCATTCTACTTTGCTCTGATGAAGGCGAATTAGCCGAAAACACGTTAAGCATTCTCTATTTTCAAATGAGGTTTTTCCGGTACGGTAGTTGTCTTCAGCACACCAACATACTCTTGTATTGTATTAGAGTCAAACTTTCATTCACTTATTTTATTTGTTCAATAATAACAGTCAAGTGTTCTCAGGTGCCAATTTTGTTCATTAATATTTCAGTAAATTGTTTTAATTATTTATTTAATGATTTTCATTTGTTTTTACCTTCGGCTTACTCACTGCAAGTGTAATGATCTGTGCAGACCATAGTTCCTTCCCCTTTCCCCTTCCCCTTCCCCTTCCCCTTCCCTTCCCTACTCTCGTTCGTTCTCCCCCGTTGCCTTATTCCTTTTCCTTTCTCCTCCCTTCACAATTGGCAGTCCGACCCTCTGGTCATTCTTCCCCACCTTGTTGGCCGTTCCTGCCATATAACTACTCTTGTCAAATTACCCCTTAGGTAGGTGGTCAAGGCACTTGTCCCCTCCTGCTCCCCAATCTTATTTCTCTAATCCCTCCATTCACTGGTCTCCAGTCCTTGTCCATTCCCCTCCCAATCTCCCTTCAAAACCGTTCCTCTCTCGGTCCTGTCCTCTATAGCCAGTGACGAATTGAGGGGTTCCCTCGGTGCCATAAACTCATGAGTCAGCTAGGATCTGGTACCTCTGGCGCCAAGTTCCGGGCATGTGAGCGTGGGAACGTTTGAGTTTTCTGTCAAGAGAAATTGACCCTTATGGTTAAGCCTAGATCTGATTGGTTGAAAATCAGGGAAGCCTAGTGGGTGGAGTCCCCCAGGGTAGTGCCAGACGTCCCCTTGGCTGTGCCCTCTGGCTTAGAGCAAGACTTTAAATCCATTGGCTATAGGCTTGGGAAGGAGGGGTTAATTGGACCTAGGAACTTGGTGGGTGGAGCTTGTTGTCTACTGGTAAGATTGTTGAGAAATATTAAAGTAAGTGTGTCTTGGGGCTTCAACTGGGGTACAGGTCAGGTGACCTGAGGGCAGCCAATCAACATCTTTGACAAGTTGCAGTATTGAAGGTAATTGTGCACTTGAGATTTCATGTATATTCGGTATTACATTCTGTGGCCTCATAGGGTTTTTAGAGTAGCATATATTTTCAATTTTGATTTAAATATACGTGTTTCAAGTAAATAATGTTTATTACTGTATTTGTGTTTAGTTATCTGTTCCCCTTTTGATTAATGCTGGGTCATTCTTCTGTGGTTTTTATGTAAGGTACTAGAAATTCCCATGTGTTCTCCATTTTATGGACATTAGAGTTGCCCTTGAATCCTCAATCAGTAAAGTAAATATTACATTATTAATTCTCAAGCACACTTTACCAAGATCCTTATACCCCTTCAGTTCATGATTATTGACTTCTGCCTTCCCTGGGAGATGAATAGAAGACACATTCAGATAATCACGCGAGGGAGGTGGTAGCAGTGTTTAATGAGTTTTTATTTATTAGTTTTAAAATATAAATCCCTTTTCTTGTTGTTCCCTTCTCATTTAATATTTCATAGTTAATAATTTAACTGTAGTTCATTGGAGGTCACATTTGATCTGCAAGCAGTGTTAACCTGGGGTGTTGAGAGTGAGTAAAGGGGTGCAAAACAGTTAGTGTTATAAAAATGGTAGCAACGGTGTTTTCAATAATTCCTTGAAAACACCGCTTGACTTAATTCCTTGAAGATTATTGACGCCTCACGCATCTGTCCGTTCAGTCATGCTGTGTTTTGAGGAAATGCAGCCGGGGCCCACGAGATAGAGTTGATGGTAATCCCATGTCAGTGCGATGGGCATGGAGTAGGCGAGTGTATAACGTCGTGAGGGGCTGGCAGTTAAGTGTAGGTGTTAAGTGTTGGTGTTAGGTAGAAGTATAAGGAGGCCGCCTTTGGTGGTTGAACAAGGTATTACTCGACCTTCTGCAACTAATGACAAGGTGTTGTGTGGATGTCACATGCATCAGCAG